TTTTAGTACCACATACACACACACGCGCGCACACACACTACTACTACTACTACATAGCATGACTGCCCATTGGGCAATGTCACCCCCGGAGGGAGCCAGAGTTTGGAGGGCACCGTCATTGGCAGGACTTCTGGTGCCTTGTCAAATCTTGCTGCCGTCGGAAACGCTTAGAGCAATGCATGCAGATCAGCGGCAGTGATTCCCTATCGGCTGCAGCAAGACGTTTTTCCACGGTTGCAGTTATGGCGGTTAAAACCAGCCCGGGACTTGAAGCAGCGATTGCAGCGTTGACAATGCTGAAAGCAGCAACTAGCGAGAGACGCCGTATATGCCGTATCTGCATGTTCAGGGAGTGCAAGCTGGCAGCGATGAACTGCAAGCCCACCCTTACTACGGAAACCATCCGCAGCAACTGACGCACTGTGCTGAACCACGCTGGTTCAGCACAGTGGTTCAGACACACACACACACACACACACACACACACACACACACACACACACACACACACACACACACACACACACACACACACACACACACACACATCACGCACCACCTCACGCACACACACATGACCTTTGACGCCCATCGCCGGAGGCGATGATAGCAATGCCACGGCAGAAGCCATAGCAACTTGTGCTGGGATTGCACCATTCAACAGCTTGCAAGGCTGAAGAATTGACCGTCACTATTCAGCCTGGTCTACACCATACAGCTATTTTGAAGTGACTTTTTTCTGGCCAGTGAATCCCTATTTTTGGTCTTTTTTTCTTTATTTTCCCGCACACACATCACACCACATACTCCGGCATGCACTGGCTGTTGGTAACCACCCAGGAGAATGAAAGAAAAGTCAGGAAGAGTCTGAGAAAGAGAAGAAAGACGTGTGTGACCATAATCATCGGGAATCGAACCCGCAACCTATCGATTGGAAATCGCTGCACATACCACTGCACCATATGGGACACACACATACACAAACCACGCACACACGCACACACACACGCACACACACCACACACACACACACACACCACACACACACACACACGCACACACACACATACACGCACACACACACATACACACACATACACACACCATGCACACACACACACACACACACCATGCACACACACACATACATATACACCATGCACACACACACACACACACACACACACACAGACACACACACACACACACGTACACACAACACACACACACACACACACACATACACACACACACATACACACACCATGCACACACACACCATGCACACACACACACGCAAGCACGCAAACATGTACTACAATGTAAAGTGAACGGATGGCTCGCGTCGCGGATGAAACTAGGTGTTTACCTTTGGCTTCATCTTCTTCTTGGTTGAGCTTATCACTCAGCGCGTCTAGCTCGGCGTCGGACAAGTCACCCTCCTCTTCGTCATCCTCCTCGTCCTTGTCCTCGTCTTGCTCAGCAGCGTGCCTGTCTTCGTCTTCATCATCGTCTCCATCACCACCGGTAGTGTGGCTAGCGGCTCTCTTGGCCTCGCCGCCGGAGTCTACAAGTTATCAAACGAAAATAATTATGATAACATGCCTTTGATGACGGCATGCACTTTCTACATGATGTATCTGTACACTCATGTATATACAATGCAGTCACGTATACACAATGACATCATTAGTTGAAGAGCAGTGCACAGTAGGAGAAAGACAAGTAAGTAAAATCAGCTTACATCAAAAGCACCTTTATCTGACGTAGTTTTTACGTACCCCGCTATAGAACCGAGCTATTGTTCCCGACGTACATAATAGTTTCGTGTTACTTCAATTCAAGGCACAAGACACGTAGGAAAGATGACACGTCGTGTGGTTCTCTTCCTCCCGAAACATTGAGTAACACGAAGGGAAAGGCGAGAAGAAAGGTGGAGAGAGGGGAGAAGAGGAAAGGAGAGAGAAGAAAGGAGCAGAAAGAGGAGAAGAGGAGAGAGGGGAAGAAAGTAGAGGAGAGGGGAGATATCTACTTTTGAAGTAGGAAGATGTGCGATGGCGAGAATCAAATATTTAATATGGCAACCTTCAAGCACAAGTGTACTCTAGGCGGTCTAAATTTCACGTGTATCGCCCCTCACCCCTACACCCCTACACCTACCTCCAGATCTTGGGGAACGGAGAGAAGGCTGGTCGACGCTTGCACCTAAAAAGCAAAATTGCACACGCACGCACAGCATGGACACACACACACACACACACACACACCACACACATTATACCATCACAATAATGTTCATCAATACCACCACCACGTGCATACCTCACCTCACCTCAGACATGCCGTGCATACACACACACACACACACACACACACACACACATGAACACGCACATGAGCACGCGCCCACATTGGGCCAAAAGCACATACGCACAGTTGGTGACTTTTTGATCCAATCAAAATGTGTGACGTAGCTTTCTGTATACATGTACGTGTACATGTACATGCCCACGAAAAACAAAATGACGCACTCGATTGTTATCAATGCAAGATGGGACACTGCGCTCCCACACTGAGGAATGGAGAAAAATGGGGAAAAGACCCAATGCGGACGGACACTGCACACTATGCCCTCGATTCTTATACCAGTAGTCCATACATAGATTGACAGCATGAAACAAGGTGGAGGACACTGTGTTCAGAAACAGTGACCTTACTACAACCTTCCGCGGTTTGCAGAGCCCCCGTCCCTGCGGACCATTTGAACCATATGGGTGTCGCACCCGGTTCTGACCCTCATTGTGCTAGGGTGGTAGGAGACTACTCCTGGCGTCCATCGTGTATTCTTTGATCGCTCCTGGATGTCGTCCTGGTAGTAATGTAGCCACTTAAACCTCAACTTCTTTTCTTCCAACTTCCGCCCATGGCGTCCTTCTCTCAGCTCGTCAGCTGTCAACAGTTACTGCCACCACCATGACACTACCACTCTATGTTACACTTAATTCCACTTGATACGAGTTGACACCGGAGGTAAGACGTAACTCAAGCTCGTTTTTTCTTTACATTTATGCACGTAACTAACAAAACTGCATGATCAAATTGAGGCACTTGTAGTTGTTTAGGTTTGCAGATGAAGTTCAACTGTTTCTGACAGTACAAGTTAACGTGACAACATCAACAACATACGAGATATTTCCAAGCGGTACTGGTGAAGGTAACCAACGTGTAGCAAAATTGAAGCAGTTGCTCAGGTTTGTAGATGAAATTCAAGTTTTCGGGACCAGTACTAGTTTACGTGACAACATCAACAACAAAAAAGTCAACGAGTGGAGGTAACCAACGTGTAGCCGGGGTGTTCCGACGTGGTGAAGGCCTACCCATGGCCACGCTGGGACATCACCAACCCCGTCTATAGAGATCACCTTCTCGCGACAGTGTCATGGTGTTGGCAGTAACTGTTGACAGCTGACGAGCTGAGAGAAGGACGCCATGGGCAGAAGTTGGAAGAAAAGAAGTTGAGGTTTAAGTAGCTACATGACTACAGTACTAGAACGACATCCAGGAGCGATCAAAGAATACACGACGGACGCCAGGGGTAGTCTCCTACCACCCTAGCATAATGAGGGTCAGAACCGGGTGCGACACCCATATGGTTCAAATGTTCCGCAGGGACCGGAGCTCTGCCAACCGCGGAAGCTTGTACTGTTGTGGACATGGAAATCCGGTCGCACGTCTAGCGACCCCAGGGCGCTGGCCATGCAGCCGTAGCATGTATTAGTATGCGCAGCTGCTGCTGGTCGCATATCGGATCAACAACAACATGTGCACTGCATGCATGCAACGACTAACGTTCTGTAAGCGCTGAGGGCGCCGGCCCCGGTCGATCGACTGGATTTCCATGTCCGCGACAGTAGTAAGGTCACTGTTTCCGAACACAGTGTCCTTCACCTTGTTTCATGCTGTCAATCTAACAATATGCGTGAACTATAACAAGGTTTATCTAATACTACTAGTTCTGAACCAGTATTGGGTTATATTATAATACCATGTACCGGTATGTACAAGTACCGGTATGTACAAGTACCGGTATGTACAAGTACCGGTATGTACAAGGCCTAACAACAGACATCGTAGGCGTTTAGGGTGCTGTACGTAATCATTTCTTTATGCAGGGAGCACTCTAACTACACGTCCACGACTCCACGCACCTGTACCACACCTGCCCTGTTTGCACTGAACACGCACATGCACTTGGCCATACGTGTACATGTACATCACACGCATCGTAACACGTACACAGCTGTTGCCCACACCCAGCTGACGTGAACACGCCCAGCTAAATATGTGTGAAACCGCCAGTGTGTTCCTAACGTTAAAACCGGCGTGCGCCTCCATTATTAGTCACTACTCTACTCTCATAGCAGGCTCTGATCTTTGTGGTCGACGCAGTTCTGCCAACCGTCTAACAGATGACCACACGATTGGACAGGAGCAGTACAGATACAGTTGAAACCCGGCATGCATGAGGGCTGATGAGGTTCGCTGCCCTTTCTCTTCCCCGTGACCTCGTGTCCAGCTAAGCCCGTGTCGAGTAACACAAACATGTAGTTAACCAAATCGATCATTGTTCATCGCAACCCCTGCTCTAATCAATATGAACAAGGCAAAGTAGCAGCGTTTCTTCTACTACATAATATCTAGTACACGTGTAGTAACTTACCCTGACTGTCCTGCAGGCTGATTAGCAGGGCCAGGCCCAGGAAGGCGAGAAACAGCGTTCTCATCTTGACTCTTCTCACGGTGCTGTAGCGAAGACTTGGTCGACCTTCTCTCCCATGGCGAACCGTAGAGACTAACCGTATGGAGGTGATGCTAGTTAGTTAATAAGTTTCTCTCTTCACTCAAGACAAGTGTATCCGACGCCTGCTGCTGGTTTTCGCCTTCTCCCGAGATCCCCATTGCGGCATTGGCTGATCTCGAACGTTACGTAAACCATAAGGACTTAGGTGCGTCAGCTAGGGACGCGACGGTGCCAGTACGTTACGTTCGTCAGGCTTCTTCACGTACCTGTGAACTAGGTAGCTGTGGGCGTTGTGCCAAGAACAAGACAACATACTGCAGTGCAGTACGCGCTGTACGTCGGTCATCCGTCACCACGTATACACACTATCTTACTCAATGGCATTGCGACGACATTACTCTCTTCTCTATCCTTGCTCACGCTAGTCATAGATACGTAGTTTTGCGTAGTACATCATGTCACAATGCAATAATGGCTGTAGCTTCATAATTACGGCTTCACTCATCATCTCGTCATGCGCTCAAAAACTGCAAAACTGTCGAAGATGAGGAGACCGCTAGGCTCACTGGTCGCCTCGCAGCTCGACTGGCCTTTGTGATCACATCCAGATGTCTATGATCCAGATGTCTATGGTCCAGATGTCTATGGTCCAGATTTCTATGTCATCTCGCAGTCAATACACGTACAATTGTACCTAGTCTCTGGTACGGGCAACATAAACACAAGCGCAAACTTATTGACCTCTTTGTTTCCCTCTGTTTCGTCTTCTTTCACTTTTATTTTGTCCATAATACATGAATAAGATTTGTTTCACAGTTGTCTAAGGTCCTCAGGCTGCGTACAGTGTTCTATGTCCAGTAACTATACAGATCACACAACACTAGATTTGTTTCAAGTAGTCCCCATTCCATTGTGATGTAGATTATTATTATTATTATTAGTCATATTTTACTAGGGCAGTCCCAACAGATCTATGGTCTTCTTACAGGGTGCCCTAGCCACATGAAGACAGCGGAGCAAAATGCAGCAGGCAGGGATATGGTGCGAATCGCGGCAGGGAGGGAGTTCCATCGGTCAGCTCCAGATAAGATACAGAGTGATAGCCAAAATACAATCTGGCATGGGAGATTCACTGACGAATGTAACAAGAAAACAGTTCTGAACGAATCCTCTCTTTCCTTTTCGTTGTTTGTCTTGCAATCATCGATTCACGTCTTACACAAACATGTCGAAATTTGGGAAATGCTTACATTCTCACGCAAACCGTGACATTTTTTACAATGCAATTAGTCGTCATTGTTGTTATATTAAAACTTCTGTCTCAGAAACGCTTGTTTACGTAAAATTAAATCGCATTTCATGAAAAAAATAAAGAGGTAGAAAAGAACTACAATTTACGCTACAATGTCCACAAAAACCACCAATTACTAAACAATAAGCTCATGCTATATCATTGTGCGACACTGACCGACGGTACTGACGTTCTACAACTATGTACCTGGCTATCGCCTCTAGTACATCTTGGATACGCACTCCAGTTTCTTGGTCCTTTTTTCTTTTCTATAAATTTATCCTTGGCTCTCCATCCGAGAAAAGAGTTCTCTTAGCCAACACACAGCTAGCGGTTCGTGTCTCTAACCATCTCTCGAACTATTTCCCGATGACCATCGGTACACCTCAAAGGGATTCCCTCTCTCCCGTCCTGTTTACGGTCTATCTAGAAGCGGCCTTGAGATAGGTGTTGTTGTTGTTGTTGTTGTTGTTGTTGTTGTTGTTGTTGTTGTTGTTGTTGTTGTTGTTGTTGTTGTTGTTGTTGTTGATGTTGATGTTGTTGTTGTTGTTGTTGTTGTTGTTGTTGTTGTTGTTGTTGTTGTTGTTGTTGTTGTTGTTGTTGTTGTTGTTGTTGTTGTTGTTGTTGTTGTTGTTGTTGTTGTTGTTGTTGTTGTTGTTGTTGTTGTTTGTTTATTTATTTAGAGTCGAAGAACAAACAGGCAAATTTGACTAATGACATGATCACGACTAGAAAGGAGAATAAAGACATAATACCATTGAACAGAGTGGGTAATAAAATATTAAAAGCCAGTTAGGCCAGTAAAGGAAATGATAATGAGCGGGCAGAGGCGTTACTGAAAAGCAGCATGTGCTGGGTCCATGGGAGGGATCGCATGAATCGGTGATACTGTGGGATATTCCTGATGTCGGGCTGGAGCCTGTTCCACTGTGATACACATTGGAATAAGGTAGAATGTGTGCCAGCGGATGTCTTAGTGACTGGAAATTTAAGTGCTCGATTTCCCTGGCTACGTGTAGCACGGCCGGCATTGAGAACTTGACTGACCATATCGGTAAGCAATGTGCTGCATTTACCCCCCCCCCCCCCCTTGAAAGCAGTGCCAATTGTACATGTAGTCAAGGAGCTTGTGCCAGACGGCATACATGTAACTTGTAGTGAGTGCAAGCGTAATTGGAAATACAGCAGTGCAGATGGGGATGCAAATGGAGCATTGAAAACACAGCGGACTGCACGCTTGAGTAGACGCTCTAGGCGCTCGAGCTGATGTGAGGTGAGGCCAGCAGAGAAACAGGCGCTGTAGCATAAAGGAAGTCAGGAAGGATAAGGGACTTCAGGTACGTGATGCGGCATGGGCTGTGCGTCTCCAAGCACCACCAAAAGTTGTCGGGGACAAACATCTTCCTTCTGAAGTAGTGTATGCAGATGACACGGATTTCATGAGCACATCTCGACAGTGGTTGCAGAAGATGGAGCAGACAACAGTACGTGTTCTTGCAGAATGGCACCTGAAGCTAAATCCGGATAAAACGGAATGGACAAATGTTTCCCGTGGTGCTGACAGGATTGCAGAAGCATGGCGTTCAGTGAAGAAGCTTAGTTCCCTTCTGGGGGATGAAGAGGACATCAGTCGCGGTAAGCAGCTGGCATCTGCAGGATTCCGGTCAAGTACAGCCTATGGAAACGTCGTTCACATGTTTCAGAGCGCCCTTTACAGAGCATTCATTGTACCCATCCTTACTTACAACTGCGGTACGCGGGGTGTGACGGGGACCTGCTTCAATCAACTAGACTCATTTCATCGCCGCCAACTCTTATCAATGGACAGTTCTGTCCGTTTGGTTTTAGCGAATTCAAATAAAGAAAACAACAACAACAACAACAACAACAACAACAACAACAACAACAACAACAACAACAACAACAACAACAACAACAACAACAACAACAACAACAACAACAACAACAACAACAACAACAACAACAACAACAACAACAACAACAACAACAACAACAACAACAACAACAACAACAACAACAACAACAACAACAACAACAACAACAACAACAACAACAACAACAACAACAACAACAACAACAACAACAACAACAACAACAACAACAACAACAACAACAACAACAACAACAACAACAACAACAACAACAACAACAACAACAACAACAACAACAACAACAACAACAACAACAACAACAACAACAACAACAACAACAACAACAACAACAACAACAACAACAACAACAACAACAACAACAACAACAACAACAACAACAACAACAACAACAACAACAACAACAACAACAACAACAACAACAACAACAACAACAACAACAACAACAACAACAACAACAACAACAATCTCTTATTGGCCACTGGCTATCGTGAGAATAAAGATTTGAAAACTCCAAACCCTTCTGGGCATCAAATGGCCCCAAACCATCCGAAACGGGAAGCTATACGAGCGCTGCGGCGATATACCACTCAGCAAAGAAATAAAGGAATCTCGGTGGCGCCTATTCAGCCACATACTGCGGCTTGGTGAGGACACGCTTTCAATGTTGGCAATCGAACATTATTTCCGGTGAGAGGCTGACAGTGGCTGCAGGGGCCGACCGCGTCCCACGATGACGTGTAATGGTGAAATCTGGAGCCTGTGTCTGTGAGGCGGGACTAGCAACGCCGACCTAGGGTCTCGGCGTTAGCGCTATCAAGCGCACCATTGACGGGATTACGAAACACATGTACATGTAAATAGATAAGTGAGGGGGAGGAAGGGAGTTGATTGTGCGTATATGGGGTGTTACATCGAGTCTGTAGCCCAATACCAGCGGCTTTGTCGTAGGTGCTAATGCACCTTGCCCTTGAACGACTGGAGGGACGTCAGGCGTGGCGGAGACTGTGCAGCACAGTTGGGGGCAAGTTGTTCCACTCGTCAATGATGCTGGAGGGGAAGCACCGTCGCAGATAAACAGGAGAGGAAGCCGGGAGGACGTTCTGTAGCTGAGGCTCGTGGCGCACTGAGTGGTCGGAAAGAGTTCGAGGACATGTTCGTGGAGGAAGCTACGGGGGCACCAGCGACGTTAGTTGCGGTGGCCCTGCCAGACACATCAGTTTATACATATAGCTGAGGGCGGCGACCAATCTCCTTGCTGCCAAACTCTGGAGGAGGACATCAGGGCCAAGAATGTGGAGGGCGCGTCTCTGCACTCGATCGAGAAGGCGCAGATGGCTTGAAGCTGCTCCCATCCATACCAATGGCGCATACTGTAGGACTGGCCTCACAAAACCTCTGTAGTGCTCGATGCTGACCTGAGGCGGGTCGCGGAGGGCCGCCTAGTCACCGCCCTGGACCTGCAACGTGTCAGATCCATTGCCATAGATCGCACCCGCTGGAGGAAACTCATTCGAAGGTCTGTGACTGATTTGCGATGATGCTCCATACTACTACAATTATCTGGACAATGTCGCAATATTAGGAATTAATATTTGACAATTAGGAATATTACACTATTATTATCTCAAGCGTATTATACTGTACCGTAACTTTCGACCCATCATAGTTTGCATCTCTCAGACCAACGTTTGGTGAACTGGAGAAATATAATCATCGGATGATTCTTCTATTGTGTGTATATGTATTTAAAGTTAACGTCATACCATTTATTTGCCAATGCCGGCATCATGGATTTTGTGGCTGCCCATTTGGCTTGCTAATCCGCCCGGACATTATTTGTTGGCTCAGCATATGCGAAGATTTGGATTCATCCATGTGAACGCGAGAATGCATAATCATTATTATTTAAAATTATTTTCTCCATCACGCACGGGGTAGTGAACCCAGGACAGAAGCGGACCAGGCATCATGACATTGCACATCTATCGTTATGCTGCTTCATTACGCGACCTGTTTTATTATTATT